AAGCGCAACGGAAGGTAGCGCTTAATCATTTGAACAAAATTACGCTTCCCGAATATTAATTTTGATCATAATTATTCAAGTTTTCTTAGAAATTTTAGTTAATATTTCTTTCCAATTTTTTTTGTCATATGAGTTTTGATTTGATTTAATTTATTGTAGAGCAATAATGATTGTACATGTTACCGAAAAGCAAAACAGATGGAGAAGGCGAATGTCTTTTCCATCTGTTTGATTAAAATTAACTTTGTCAACGGGTAAATGGAAGATTTAACAGTTAATATTTTTAACCTATTATAGAGACTCTGTTATTCAGTTTCTATTGTACATTACCGACATCCTGACAGACACTCTTATTAGCAACTGAAATAGCATTTATTATTGCTGTGGCAAAATTATTTCAGAAAAAGTAGTAATGAAGGAGGAATTCGTTTTTGCCCACATCTTTTTTGCATTTGAATAATTCATATGGAAATTCAATTTATTTCAAGCATGTTTACAAATTGGGGTATTGTAGGAAAGAAATAAATGAGCAATTATCTAACATTGAAAGCAATTGCATTAGATAACACTGCTTAATACTAGTAATGACACTGATACAATGACCTAACTGCTATTATTGCAAGCCTCTATTTCGATTTCATTGCATTTTTAATTTACCATCTGTAAACGTTTTGTTTATAGATCAATAAAATTTTGTTTCCGCCCCACCTAAATTTTTTGATGTGCATATTTTTTGGCCATAGTTGATAAACAAGCTTTATTGTAAACTTTTCAGACAAGATTTTTGCATAAAGTCATCAAAAGAACTAGAAGTAAATCTCAAAATATCAAAAAAACAAGAAATCAATAAGAAAACTGAAATAACATTCAAAACAAATTCCTCGTATTGTATTTTAATAACCGGAAACTATTGTGCATCCATTTTCATGGAGGAGTGGAAGTTAACATGCTCAATGATTTTGCATATAATGGCAAACAATTTATTGAACAGTTTAAATTTTAAAAATTCTGATCAGAAAATTAAATTTCGAGAAAGTATTAGTAGAATATCATTTAACAATTCGCTAATGATGTATGGTTAATTGAGATGGAAAAAGAGATTTTACAAAAGAGAGGTTTATTATTGACAGTAAATTTCATATAGATTGTATACCGTTATACATTTTAGATATATGAATTAGATACTTATCGTATAACTTAAATTTCAGCGGCATCATTTGTACGGAGAGGTTTATAAGCAAATGAGTACTTGTCGCAATGTAACATTCTGTTCTTTGCAACGAAGATGAAAAGTATTAGAAAGATGGCGACAGCAAGAAGACAACAAATTACTATCAGCAATATAGAAAACCAAACTGAGCTATCCGGAAGGCATTCTGTTGCACTATTTAAATAGTTTCGCAGAGGATATTGCCAACTTCCGGAAAAGCAATAATACAAATCGTTGGTTGAAGTGGAATATGTATCATTTGGGATCCATTGGCTAGCTTGCAACAATGTACAATGACAAATAAGTGGATTACGTGATATATCCATTTCACGAAGTTCACCTCTCTTGATATAGGTATCATTGAATAAATAATGAATAAGATTCTGACTTACATCCAGGTAATAAAGACAAGGAGGTAGTAAGGCCCCGTCCAAAGATGATAATCGATTCCTAGACAGGTCAAGTTTACGTATTGCTTGAAAATTAGAAAAATCAGGTTGCCATTCTAAATTACAATCTGAAATATCCAAGTCGATCAGATTTCCAAGCTGATTAAGAGACGTTATCCAGCATTCAGATATTCCACTGCACTTCGAAAATAGACCAACATTTGACCTCAGGTAAAGATGTTGAAGAAGAGGAAGTCCTGCTAACAAATAAGAATCTAAACCCTCAAGGGCATTATTGGAGAGGTCGAGAAGTAGTAATGATGGTAATATTGGATGCACGAATTGAGAAAGTTTATTATGAGACATATTAATGAAGCGAATTTGCATCCCAATTGTTGGAAATGATTGAGTAGATAGATTTGTTAAAACATTTTGAGAAATATCGAGATGCTGAAGTTGTGGATAATATGCTAGAGCATTTTCCGGCAAATAACGTATCTTATTGGAAGATATGGAAAGTGTCAACATATGATTAAAGGTGACACCGGGTGGTGGAATAATCCAAGAAGATAGATCATTTCGTTCCAGGAATAAAGCTTCCAATGAAGTAGCGCCAATGTAAACCTTATCTAAACGATTATCATTTGCTTTCAAATAACGAATCTTACAATGTCTCGGGATGATAAGAATGTGCAAATTAATGTGTGATATATCAAGCCATTCAAGATACTGACCACACCATTGCCATGAATGATTTGTGTTTGGAAGAATGGTAAATGGTATACTTAAGTGTCGAACATGACTGTAAATCTGAAGCCAATCAGGAAATGAATCGGGAAGTTTGGTTTTGCCGAGATTTAGTGTGGTAATATTGCTGATAATTGGAAGGAGTGATGGATGAATTGTAAGCTCTTCCTGAGATGATAAATCTAACGTACGAAGAATGAGCCATTGTTGTTTGGAAATGCGCATACTGCGACAGTATTTCTTCGTTGTATCACATTCGGTGCTGGGTAAAAAAAGTATGGTAGAATCGTTGATCATTTCCATATTTATATCAGCAAGATGCAATTGTCGAGAGAGAGGAAGTTGGGTTATAACTGAACTGATTTGTACCGGATTACCATCTATGCTAAATTGCTCCAAAATATGACTTCTTGGAAGCATTTCATTGATTGAATTTAAATCACGGATTAGATTTCGTGCCAAATTTACAATTCGTAATTTGGTAAGTTCGAAGAAGCATTCCGATGGTAGATCTGTTAATAAATTATCGGCAAGATGTAGGGTTTCCAGATTTGGTAACGAAGTCAATGATAGAGAATGGATATGTGCCAAATTACAGAAATTGATTCGAAGAATTTTAATATTTTTATTCTGGGCGAAATGAGGCAAATGTCGCATGGACATATGGTGAAAGTAAAGAGTGTTAGCCCAATGTGGTGCAATCACCGATCTTAGCAAAATATTATATCCTGTACAGCTGACAGTATAAGAGTGTCGATCACAACGACAATATTGACATATGTCAACACATGCCACCTGTAGAATGAAATAAAGTAAAAGAAGTAATTTGACCATATCACTGTAAATCATATTAATTTCTTACTGCTAAACAGAAATATGGCAATATGGTTCAATGAGGTTAGAGATAACTTTAAAAAAAGTTCTGTCAGCCAATGAAATAAGCTAATTCGAAATTCACTGAAATTTCGAGTTTGCTGTAATTGAATGAGAATGAAAAAGAATAGAAATATGTGGATGAACAAGTAAGCCTAATGAATACTTCGATATAATCAAATGACAATAAAAAGTAATGACAGCAATAGTAGGACTTCACTTGATGGCAAATAATCATCCTAATCAATTTTCAGTCACCGAATACATGATTTTTTATTTAGGATCAAAATACTAGCAAAATAAATTAACGCTCCGAAAAATGCATGAAATATTTGTCAAAGTTTAGTAAAGTTTAAAAAAAAAGTGGAAACAAATAATTTTGTTGCTCCTATTTTTAACTTTTCATTTTTTGTATCAGAAGGGATAAAGGAAATCCTCGAATCTTACACATTTCGTCATTCATTTTCACAACACATTTCAAAACAAATCAGTTGTCGTTGCTTCTGTTTGGCTTTAAACCGATTGGCCAAGACTAATTGGATTCTAACATTGATGAGGATTTTTTTCTTCAGCCCAAATTTTAGCTAATACAAAGCCTAAGTTTAAGCATGTCACGCCTCTTCAATTTTCCTGCTTCACTTTTAATGCTTATATCCTTTTTCCATATGAGATGAACAATGTACCCGATGGTACTTTTCATTATACTTTTCAATACTTTTCACTATACTTTACTTATATTGTGATGGAAATATTTCCAAGGAATGCTAATCATATTAAAATTATATTTTGATGATTTGCTCGAAATTAAATTCAATTCCATCATCTTTTGTTCTAAAAAAGAAAAGAAAATAAACAAACAGCAAGCTGATTAAAAAAACCAACCAGATAGAAAGAAATGAACAGCCCGAAAGCGGACTTTTTTCTTCTTTTAAGTAATGCGGAAATCCAAAACGCATGTATAGAACCCAACACTTTTTCCTGTGTTGTATGGCAACTTAGTATATCAATTCCAATTTTTTCATTTTTTTTTTTGTTTCCGTGGTTCAACTTCTGTTTTCAGTTAAACTGATCAGTAAAATAAACATCTGAATATGAAAAACGTTAATGCTAACATTAGAGTACATCAGATAATGACATATTTCTACAAATGCACACACACACACACACACACACACACATACACACACATTGGAGTACTGTTATGGAAGGGATTCAGTTATCAAATATTTCACTTATAAATTTAGCTAAAAAAATCTGCTTTTGATGATTAGAAGTGATAAACTGGTCCTCACCATTACTATTATTATTTGTCAACATCAATTAATGACCGTATCCGCAATAGTCTTCAAATCAGCGCTAGTCAGAATTTAGTTTAGAAATATATATTTTATCCAGAAAACTGTCAATTCGGTTGTAAGGTCATCCACGTACTTACTCTATGCTATGGTATTTATCAGTATTTGAAAAAATCGACCGAATAATTTATGGCGATAACAATATGAACCAACAGTTTGTTGAATATTTCGGAAAATTATTTTAAGAACTAAATTCATAGAATGGTTTTATGACAAACTTCAAGATCAATTGCAGCAAACATATATTTAAATATAAAAGCGAGGAATTATTAATCATGGATATGGGATTGTTCAGCGGATCGCAGTATTCTCCTCTTAGTTGCACCCGCTTGCTGTTTTTTGATTTCAAAATCGAGCATTTCTTGTTCAATTGCCAGTTCTTCATCAATGTCTGTTGCTATTTGACGGTAATCGGCTATGAGATCATATTTGCGAAGATCAGTGAGCTGAAAAAATGACTTTACATGTCCAATTTGAACTGTTATAAAAATTTTTTGCACAGAGTATTTATCTAATAAACTGAGAGTTTATTAGACACAGAGTACTTATTTAATAAACTTTGTAACCTAGCAAATTTGCATTTATGAGAAGAAAGGAATTTCTTGACAAATCAATCATAACATTACAACTTTGCTTTCTTTCTTATACAAATTGAAGAACTACATAATGTGACCAGAACTTAATAGTATCAAAATTTTCAAATTAGAAGAAGCATCCCATTTCCTAACAATCTAAGAAAAGAGTAGTAAAACTCACCTTTGTTCTCCTCATTTTCTTTTTATACCATGGAGTTTGTTCACTCCATACATCTTCTATTCCTTTGTAATCAAAAAGTTCCCATCTCCTTGTCCATGGTGGTGGACGTAGTTTAACCTTTATAAATAAAAAAAAATTGGACAGAATTAGCTTCGTATTAAGTTTGTTTGTTTCAAAAATGATAACTGAAGAAAATACTACTCAAAGTTAAAAAAGGAAGGCACCTTCAATTTTTAATGATAGCCACACTAAAATTAGATTTAAATTACATATATAATTTTGGAATTTAATATTCTTCCAGGAAACCTTATTGCTCTTGCAATTTCCACGAAACTGGTCAAAAAAATTATTAAATAACAACTGTCGCGACAAAAGTAGCAAAAGTAGAAAAATTAGTGATTATGAATTAGTCAAGTAAAACCTGTTCGGATTTTTTCATCTGGCACAAAGGATATCTAACAAAAAAAATGTTGGAAGATGAGAATTAACCTTTAAAGGATTTATGGGAACTGGTTTTCCAACAATATGAGACGTAGGTTCCATGTGAATATTGAATGTACTATATTCAGGATAAGCGTCAATCAAATAACTTAAATCATCATCCAAGCGCTTTTCCAGTTTGATTACTTCTATTTTGGTAATTGTTGGTGTGTACATTTCATACATAACTTCTACACCTGTATATTTTTAGAAACCTTAATTGGAGAATCAAACATTAATTTGGTCCTAAAAAATCTTTGAAGAAACAAAAAACTTTTACAAACCTATTCCTTCAATGACGTTCCGTAGTGTAAACTGTGATTTCAGCCCCTCCAATCTGCGGCTAATGCATATGCCCAAAAATCGGTTCTTCATTCCCACTAATTTTTTATCCGAATAAGTAACAGCAACAATGGAACCTTCAAAAAAAAAGTTGCAAAACATTAATAAATACCGGTTAGTTTCCATTCAAAATAATCTCAAAAAACTCTACAGAATAATTCGCTTCATTACTTAAATTGTTTAAAATTATGGAACAAGTTTCAGCAACTATCAATTTTGATAGATACATAGGAAAGCTTCAGAAAAATAACGTTTTGGAGAAAAATATGAGGGATACAAAGAGAAAAATTTACATACCAACGTAGAATTCAGGAATATCTATTCGTAAACGACGCTCTAACATGTCTTTCCTTTCCAATTCTTCTCGCAACAAATTTCGTCTTCCATATATGGAGGTAGGTTGGAAATCCGGATACACCTCTCTATAACACCATATTGCTTCAAATCTTTACAAAATGAATTTACAATAATATCACAATAAAATATGATTACCGGAAATTTTGTATGTGCTTCTCAAGTCTGATTTTCCTCTCTTCACCGGAAAGACGACGATACGCACGTTGACCCACTACTCTGGCACCCAAAAGTAGTACCCCAATGTTACATTGCATTGTGAAATTTTTAGATCACAACTGTTCTAAGCAAATTTCAGATAGCTTCATGAACCATCTGATTCAAAATCACCTGAAAGTTTCTTAATATTGAATATCAAAAACGCAATGCAGTGCAACCTTGAGGCTCTTGATTCTCAGGAGCGATTCGAGTAACAAATAGATCGCGATTAAATAAAATACATCTCCAGCTCCTGTTAACCAAATCAATATGTTTCATGAATAACAATAAAGGTTTGAAATAGTATCAATCAAATTTCATGTGGAATCTATTAATAAGATTACGTTATTTTAATGAAAATTCATGAATAGACCAAGACAATTCATATAAAGTGCACAAGAATGCTAAAAATCGCTATTTTCACGAAACATTTAAACAATACAATAACATTATGAATCGATGATTTCATACGGTTTCCCACGGTTTATTTTCAAATTACATTTTAATTTACGCTATTTTCAAAGGTTGAAAAACAGCATACATTAAAATGCAATTTGAAAATAGAGACAAGATTATGAAGATGTACACTTTTTACACTGAAAAATTACAAAAAACTTTGATACAATAAATGGATTCTAACAGCAGTGCCAAGATTATATTTCGTACATGGAAACTGAATATAAACGTTTCACGGTGTTATAAGTATAATTTCTAATTACAAAACTGTATTTGCACATTGTCCAAGAAATTGCAGCTTTGCATTTTGTACTTCGTATCTGACAAATATGAGAACAGCATGCAGTTAATAAATAAGCAAATAAACAAACAATGCAAACGTAGTATTCTGAAAGAATGTTGAGAACATCAATTATTAGCACTTTCCGTAATAAATCAAACAATATTAATGAAATTTTTGAATACATTCAGTAATTACAAAGTAAATATTTCAGTTGTGACTACCTAATAATACATATCTGAACCATTCAGTTGATGAACTGAAAACCAAGGAAAATACTCATCGTCTTCAGAAGAATTTTCAGCATCAGATGACTCTGTACTACTACTTTCTGCGTCCTCTGGTGTATTTATGCTGCCACTTTCCTCCAAAAATAGTTCTTCAGGCGCTCCAGAAATCTTACATTTACTGAGGTCAAAATAACACAAAGGGCACACCTGAAATTAATTAAGGACAATTTCCACAAGATTATCCAAAAGCAATTCTAGCAAACGATAAATCCCTTTTCACATAAGCATAAATAAGAATTATAGGAACATCTTCAATATCAAATATTACAAAATTATATGCCTAATTTCTAGAAAAAATTAAATATTACCTAAAAATTATTTATTGTTTCAGGGTGTTAATATTTCTCAGCAAAGATAAAGCATAAACCTGTTTAACACACAGCCACTTTCTTAAGCAGGCACTATGGAAAGAATGCTTGCAAGGTGTTATGCGTACATCTTCCACCAAACCAGACAAACAGATCGCGCATGCATCACGTCGCTGTTGCAACGTTTCTTTCGACACATAAGGCAATTGTGACAAGCTGGAATATGCTGCATGTCGTGACTGCACGCTAACAATCCCAGCCTGTAATTGCCTCCAAACACTGAAATACAGGTAGAATACCAAAACAGCCAGGCTTGTTAATGTCCAGTGACCTGCAAAACAGTTTCGAGTGAATTGCATCAAATTTTTCTAAAACTTTCTAGCAGAATTTTTACATATAATCTTTTGAATATTGTATATTACTTTAATAAGAAAATCTGAAAACGATCGGACTAATAAAAATTAAGAATCAGTTACATGTCTTTCATTAAGTTTATTTTACTGTAGAATGAACCCACCCATTAAAGATGTTAGAATACCGTAGCAAACAACATTCAATGCAAGTAATACTTCGACACCACACGTAATCATTTTGCATATGAATACGACATAATCAGCTCGTCCCCATGTATCCATAGACTCCCTTTCTAATACATATATGGCATATACGATTAGGGCCGATAATGTACGCACTGCCGTTAGTAAACAATTTGAAACTATTATTAGACACCTGAAAGTGAATCAGTTTCTGTTATCATATTGACTATAAGAAAACACACAAATTCGAAAATGCTAAATAAAAATTCTAACCACAAATCAATGGGCAGAAATCGAGTAACAGCAGCAGAAGTACAAAGTGATGTCATAATTACAATAATAGATAGAAAAACAGATCGCATATGTTGACCTCGGCTCGTCCATCTATTTGCAGCTATCTCAAGTAATTGTAGTTCAAGAATTTCACATAACGACTGCAGCAAAGTGGACACAACTGAATAAAATAGATAGCTAATACCTCAAGTTTGGTCTAGAAAACTCGAAGGAATGAAAAGCCTTCGAAAAAATTACCAGTTATCATTCACCGCATACAAGCCAACTTCACTTTCAGACACCTTTCAACATCAAGCTTCAACCTCCCAAAAGCACAGTTTCAAATTTCGTTTACCAAGTCTACTTATAACCAAAATGATGGGCATGAGAAGAAATAATACATATAAACAAATTGTGAAGGTCATTTTTCATGTTGGTAAAAACTGCTTATAAAAAAATAGAGAAGCACCATAATGAACCAAATACTTACCAATAAGAAAGACCAGCCCAAGTAAAAAAGCTTTCTGTTCAGTTCGCATTCCAAGAACACCGGTTTGTGCACAAAGCAGTGCAAGTATTAGTGCTCCTGTATAGCCACCATTAGCCAAAATATGTGTATGACCTTGCTGTCCACCAACAATATATTCCGCAATAGTCAAAATTTGCTTACAAGAACAGCTCACAGTTAATGTCAGCGCCAATAGTGACAATGGCGTGTTCGTGCTTTCTGCTACTGATGCTAGGAATATTGCACCAATTTCATCAAAACCCCTTCCTTTTCCAGCTAAATGCACATACACTCGGGTAAAAAACATTGTTAACCATGCCGAGATCAATATTTCTGCAATCCGTAAGCGATGCCACAAAATAGCAGCACCTGAAAATCCTTCTGTCTTTAGTCATTAAAATTTTACATTAAGATGTTATAACAATGGAAAACTTGCCATTGAGTTTAATGCCTTTGCTTAATCTGCAAAAAAACGATATCTCAGATGCAACCGCGCATTCAAAAACATTACAGGAGTTAGATTTTGCTTTTTAAGGAGGAGGAATAGACGAGAATGAGTGAAAAAAAAGAAAATTGTTTGCTAATAACGACTAGAAAACATCGCAACTGCCCCAAGATTAATAACAAAGACTTTGATAAAATGCATAACCAAAAACTGATTGTATAAAATTTAACCTTATTTTTAGTTTTCTTAATTGACGACAATCATGCCGTTTTACTTTTAACTTAAAAATTTGAGTTTTGAAAGAGAGGACTTAAGAACGAAGAAATAATACATACCTGCTCCAATACCTCGAGGAATTACGAGAGCTTTAAGATATCGCATAGAATGACGTATAGATATCAGCAGTGCTGGGGTTTTGTTTAAAACATATATGCAAATTGCCATTATCGCCAAAGAACAAGCCACATTGTGAGCAATGATCAAGCGATCGATAGGCACTGCACACATTCGAGCAATTATTGGTATCAGAAAAACTGCAAGCGTAACTCGTGCAATATCATTTTCCAAGCTTAGAAGACAACTCTGCACTACACAGAGCACCAACTGAAAAGTACTGATTTTCAAGTTAACCAATACCTAATAGCCAAATTTTTTCTGGGAAAAACAATTAAAAAAAATATCGACCTGGGCCAAAATATGAAATCCATGTCGTTCTAATTTAGTAAAATCATCCAACTTCAAGTTAGGATCTTCATTCTGCTCCAATTGAACATATCGAGCCGACAGATAATGAGCCACAGAAAATAGCAACAATGAAAATATGTGAAAATAAACTTGTATAAGTTTGTAGAGCGGAAGAAGAAAAAACATGAGTGACATAAGCACAACTGAAACTAGGAAAATTTGTAAAAAAAGTGAACTAATTACTTTTTTAAACATGTTTTGATATCAATTACAGCGAATTTTAAAAAGTTGATTAAAAAATTCAAGTAAATTATCCAGTATATAAGATCAACACTAGTTAATAATAAAATGAAAGCAACAGAATAGCGTTGGAACTCATTTTAACAGCTAGAACTTTGAATTTAATGCTCACCAGCATAGCTCAGTATTTGCGCCCCAGTTTGATCAAGGTTCCTCGTTTGAATAAATTCAATGATTTGATCCATTTCCAGATATGATGAAAACGATTGCTTGAATAAATCGGGATTGAAATGTATGTCTCGACTACGCCACCAAAGTTCGAATAACAAAAGGCCAGGTAGCCGTAAGGCAATTTCCATGCAGCGTAAAAATGCTGTTCGAACACGAACACTGAATAATTCCACAGCTTCGCCAACATCCATTTCATTGAAAATTCTTTAGAGAAATATTGCCTTAATTTTTTATTCAGTTACATGTCTACTTTCAAACTTTTTAATAGCAAAAGGCACAATTAACAAATTGTTACCGCGGGTAAGACGAACTTAAAATGCTACCAAAATATCATTACTACAGAAGCCATTCCTAACATATCAGTATGTTAATAGAGACATTTGAAACAACTACAATAAGAATAATTTTGTATTAATATCAATAGTCTTAATGAACTTACATATGACAGAAAAAACTAATTATCCACTACTGTAATCATTCTCACTACTTTATATTTCAACCCTGGTTTCCGTTACATGATTTATCTTCGAAAATAGAAGCTCTCGGTTTTTGGATCCCACTCTACTGGCGATGTTGATTATGTTTTTAAGAAAATCATGTATTCTGAGATTTTAAACACTTTTGTATTTTTATGTACTGTAACCAAAATTTGATAAAAAGAATTTTTTTCATGTTCAAAACGGTCAGTAATGTTCAATGGCACGGTACTTCTTGAAGAAATGCAAACCGACAAAACTTAAGTTGCATTCAAAAATAGAAAGGAAAGAAATGATGGTTATATAATTAAAAATGAAAGTTTGGAAAAAACTCAATTCATCACAACTTCTACGTTTCATCCCCTTTTTAATGAATTGGCATAGTTGGATGTTAGTAATACT